GATTCATGTTGGATAGGTTGTGATGGCCTTGCATGTGATTGAAGTTGCTAATCTTAACATCCAAAAGACTTCATATAAGACTTGTTTATATTAAAAAAAATACTGTAAAAATGCAAGAATAATTGGTTTTATGCGATCCCATAAAAAAACTGGTAAAACCAGCTTAAAAAAATAAAGCCCAGCAAAAACATCTAAGTAAAGAATACTTTTGAAACCTGTGGCATAAGAATAATGAAAGCAGATTTGACACTAAGACTTAATATGTGAATAAAGTGCACACCACAGCTATAGGAAGTTTTGGATGAAGCAATGTCACTGTGATAATAAATAGGAAAATAAACATTGGCACAGAAAAAACTTTGAGCTCTACTTTGTGCCTTAAAATTGTTGCACTTACTGTACATTAATTTGGCTGAATGGTACATCATCTTTCAGCAGTATCAGTGAAGGGAGTTTGTGGTAATGGGTTTATGAGTTAATAAGGAGATGAAATTGGGAAGAGGGGGTGTTTAGGTTTTGTGGTAATTAAGTATGTCCTCATAAATATTGCATTTATAGAAAAACTATTAGAATTAGTATGATTTATTTGGTTATGATAATGTGACACTTGAGTGATCTGCTAAGGAAGATGCATTTCAGAAAGACTTTTATATAAAGCTGGCCCCTATTTAGGGTTCTAGGACAATAACCCTTTGGATAAAAACCCCCATGTAAAATCCCCTCCAGACAATAATTCCCTGGGGAAACTCCCAGATATCAAACCCTCAGAGAATAAACCCCAATTTTAAATGTCTGTAGATTAAATCAAATATATACTAATTATCACCCAAACTTACACTCTTAATTTGATAAAACTCATTTTTTCATGGAAATACAGTAGACCGTCGTTTATCCGAATCAATTGGGGACTGGGTTTGTTCAGATAACTTATTTTTCGGATAACCGATTATGTACGAAAAAATATATTAACCTATCCCGTGTTGAAATTTTTCTCCGTTGCGTGTCGCTTCACGTTGAATTTTCGTTGATGTTAAGCCTAATGTAAACTTTTTAAAATAATAATTGTGGCTATTGTATCGTTAAAAATTATTTCTTTATTTTTGCAAACAAAATAAAAATATAAAAACAAAAAAAATTATACTTTAGAAGTTAATCTAGTATCAAAAACGTTTGATTCAGCAGACACAGTCCTCAGAAAAACACTACACAAAAGTGCCAGTGCTGTCAGCTAAAACACACACATCAACAAAAAAAATATTGGAGTAACCCAAGATATAGCCAAAGATTGCAGTGCCACAGCACTAGCGAAAATTTAAATTTGCCGACTGGAATACTTTCGGTTAACTGACATTTCAAATAACCGGCTTTCAGATAAACGACGCTCTATACATCAATGGGTAAATAACCACTTACCACACCAGGATGTAGTTAATCACATACTTCGAATCGGTTACGGTGTGCACGTAAACAACAAAGCCTGATGATGAACTTGGATGGAATTTGAAAACGTTTGTTTTTGTTGTTTATGTGCACACCATAACCAGTTCAGAATACATGATCAAGGGGTAAATAATATTAAATATGTTTTTAAATTTTGAAAGTAATAAAAAAAAATCTAAAATGAAAAATTAACAAACACTATAAAGTTATTTTACAAACCACAAAAACTAATAAGAACCATTATCATAAATATATGTACCATTAATCAACTTTATGCAAATCAATCATGGAGTTTACAATTCAAGCAAGTTAAAGTTTTCTTCATGCCCTGAAGATATAGCGTCCAAGTAAATGTCACAACAGTGGTCTGTATTGTCTTCATAGTTTGTGAAATAAACTATTTTTTACTTTTTTTTTCATTTTAAACATAATAGTCCTACATTTTGATTAATATATTTTTATTGATAAAATTTTATAAAACAAAACTTATGCCTACTTGAAGTAAGCTTGGTGGTTTTTTTGTGTAATATCTATTATTATATTTTCAGTACATGTATATATATAATTTGTGATGAAATTTGTAAAATCTAATAAAGGAAAAGAGAAAGAGATTTTTGAAGGTTATGTTTATGTAAAGCAGAATAATGTTGTATCGTTCAAATATGAAAGAAGGCATAAAATGACAAATGAAAAGCTAAAATTAAAATTAGTGGAAAAGAGCTGGTGGGGCAATTAAACAATCACTCTCATTGTCCAGATTTAGCACAAGAAGTTCTTAAAGCAGTTCAACAAATAAAAAGACTGGCAGAAGAAACTGAAGAAACACCACAGCAAATAATCATGCAGTCTATTTCAATGGTAAGTGAAGGTGCAAAAGCCAACTTGCCTTCAGTTTATCATTTACATCACAATATCAGACGTCAATCTCAAGCTGTCAATAATCCACTACCTGTTCCACTGACTATTGATGAAATTATTGTCCCAGATTGCTACAAAGTTACACATGATGGCCAAGATTTCCTTCTATTCAATTCTAGTTCAAATAATAACAACAGAATCTTAATCTTTGTAACATATAACAATCTTAGATTCTTGGAAATAACACCTCACTGGTTTCCGGATGTGACTTTCAAAACATGTCCTAGTAAATGGATAAACCAATCTGTGTGTTTATGCATTACTGCAGAACAAAACTCAGGATACATATATTGAACTGTTTGAGAAATTAACAACACCTAACGTAAATTTGAGATTAACAAGTATAATGATTGATTTTGAAGTAGCAGTTTTAAACAGTTTAAAAGTAGTATTTTCAGACTGTAAAATTAAAGGATGTTTCTTTCATCTAAGTCAGAATATTTACCGTAAGATTAAAGAGAAGAGTTTGTAACAATATTATCAAGAAGATTCTGACTCTGCATTGAAATTAAAAATGATCTTAGCTCTTGCATTTGTGCCGACTGATAACGTTGTTAGTGTTTTTGAGGAATTGTCAGAATTGCTACTTGAAGAAATCACACTAGTTGTAGATTATTTTGAAGTTTACTATATTGTAAGACCACAACGTCATGGACAATAGCAACCAACATATGCCATTGAGATGTGGAATATGTATCAATGATCTGAAGATGAATTACCAAACACAAACAATTCAGTGGAAAAATGGCACAGAAGTTTTCAGTTCAATGTTGGGGAAGTTCCATCCCACCATTTGGAAATTCATCGAATTTCTTCAAAGAGAACAAGCATTACAACAAGTTTACTTCAAACAAATTCTGGTTGGCCATCTATCATAAGCATCAAGAAAGAAATATGCTGATTCAAATGCACAGATCCTTACCATTGTTTGCAGCTACTGTAATTGCAACATTATGGACTATCTCACAATCTCTTTCTCTCTAACTGATATTATGTAAATAATAATATTAAATTGCAATTTTTATCAGGAATTTCAGTATTTTAACTACTGTATAAATGACTGTAATTAAAAATTTGTTTCTCTGAAAAGTGCATATGAACTTTCAGTATTATTTAAAAATATGTATCAGCATTTTGTTGTGTTAAATAAATTTCAAAGAAACTTTTAGTTTCAGGAGCTTTTATTTTTACACAAAAGTGATATTGTCCTGGGGGGTTTTAATACAAGGGTTTTTATTTAGAGATTATTGTCAGATGATTATATTTCAGGGTGTTTTTACGTAGGGAGGTTATATTTTCCGGGGTTTTCAACAAGGGGTTATTGTCCGCAGGGGTTTATACATTGTGGTTACTGTCCTGAAATGCCTAAGACCCCAGAAAATTGTATGTGGCCAGTCCATTGGTGATGCATAAACCCATGATTTACTATCAGTGTTCAATGGCTTTATCCCTTGGTTACTGGAGGGTATCTATTGGGCTGCATTTTGAAAAAATTGTGGACCTATAAATTCCCACTGTCATTTATCTGTTGTATGTTCTTCCTTAATTTTGCAAATGAAGTTAGATAGATGAAAGTTGAGACTAGATATGGGAAGCTTAATAACAGGAGCCCAGATTAACTATATATGAACCAGTTTGATCTGGAAGTCACATTATTCCAATTCAAAAATTTTCTACTGAACAGAGTTAGATACATAACCAGCACAACTCTATTGCTAACAGGAAAAGTATGATTTATAAGGGCAAAACACGACTTCACACATGCAAGTGCTATGTGCTTGCTACCTGTCTCAGTAATGGCATAAAGGCATGTAATAGTGCATCTATTTTGCATTTTATTATTGTTGCAGTAATTAAGTGATTATAATATATATATTAAAAATTATATCCTTTTTTGTAAGAATTATATTTAGATTATTATTTTCTTAAATTTTTGCCAAAAAATGGCACTACATGTAAAGCCAGCAATGAATGTAGACAGAAATTAATTTATATATAGAAAGCAAATCAATATTTTGGGGTGAGATGTACAACATTATCTATATTTAAGTTAGAATTATGTAAACGTAATTTCCAAATTTTGTAGAAATTGGTTGAATGGCCTAGGCATGCATAGTGAACAAACAAACATCTTCATTTATATATATATTATATATATATATTTAAACATTTTTCCAATTCATTATCATATGTTTATGGATAACAATTTATTGATTTTAATTCTATTATAGTCCCAATTCATCATTAGTTACTGATGATGAAGTAGGATGGTTCAAAAACATTCTGAAAACCCATAAAAAATGGGTTTTTATATTTGAGTCTGCTTCTTATGACTTGATAATTATAGTCATTTTTCCTTTTTTTAAGTAATTTTATCAATATAATTAAACTGATAATTGATAAAACAAGAGTCAACAGATGTAATAATCATATTTTATTAGTTACTATTTTGATTATTTTTAGATTTGATTATAGAATTTCTAGTCAACAAAATATGAATAGTTTCATGTGATTATTTAATCTTTTATGTGTTTTGTTTTAGTTAACAATAAATTGTTTATTAATATCTTTTAAATATCTTATTTTATTTTTTTATTGAATTATTCAATTGTTCTGGATTATGGATTTTTATTTTTATATAGGTAGTTCTTCCAGTAATGGAAAAATATTTTTCTGCACACCGCAATTTTTTTATAAGTGCAGCAACAACTGCTACAAATGTTGGTGTAGCAACAGTTCGAGAAAAAGAAATGGTTGCTAGGTATTGTTTATAAATGTATAATTTTTGTAAATTTTAAAATTAATCAAATAAATTAAAATATTTTTATTTATTGTATATAGTTTATTTTGTAAACTAGCAGCATTATTGAGAGCAAAATTAAGTGTATTTGGAAATGAAGCAAAAATCTCTGTTCGTGGTCTACAAGTATTAATTAGAGCAACTGATGCTAGGTAGCTATTTAGAAATGATTTGACTTTTAAAAGATTAAAATGAATATTTTTTTTTAAAAACTTCTAATAAATAATAATTTTTAAAAAATCTTTCAGAACTATTGTAAAAAATTGTCCAGATTTTGTTAAAACGTCTATGCTGACATTTTTCAACAATGCTGCTGATGATTTAGCTCAAACGGTTGTGAATTTACAACAAGGTCGATATAGTTTGTTACGAGGAACTACATTGAAAACATCATCATCTCTCAATTACATACAATTAGTTTTGTTGCCAGTTCTTACAGCACTTTTTGATCATTTAGCTGCTTGTGAATTTGGAAGTGATCTTCTTTGTAAGTATTATTTATAACTTTTAAAAAACAATAGGTTTGAACTAAATTTTTTTTTATATAAGTAATAGATATGTATTATATCAATGGTGCAGTTTTCTTTATATTGCTTTAAAGATCAATTCTTTAAATATTTTTTCAAAAAATTGATGAGAATTCATAGGTTATATCCAAAGAAGTTAACCGATGTTTTTTTGTCTGTACCGCATTTCATCAGAGACAAAAGCTTCTGAGTGTTATCTTTATTATTCTTTATTCACTATGCATTTTGGGTGCAAGATTTTTCTGTAACTTGCACCCCTCATCAGGTGTTACATTTCTAATTTATAGAAATGTAGCACCTGATGAGGGGTGCAAGTTACAGAAAAATCTTGCACCCAAAATGCATAGTGAATAAAGAATAATAAAGATAACACTCAGAAGCTTTTGTCTCTGATGAAATGCGGTACAGACAAAAAAACATCGGTTAACTTCTTTGGATATAACCTATGAATTCTCATCAATTTTTTGAAAAAATATCTAAAACTTTTGTTTAGAAAAGTGAATGTACATTTGTTTGTATTTAAAAATCAGTAGATTTGTTTGTAATATTGTTGCCAATTTTAATATTTTAACTAAGCTTTAAATTCTTTCTTTATAATTGTCATGCCAGATAAAATATACTAGATAGTTATAGTAAATTGTCATAAATTAACAACATAAAATATTTTTATACATAACAATTTTTAAAAATTTTTGAATTATTTTGAATCTAAAGTGATTGTTAGAAGTAATTCATAAGAACTAAAATAAAGATGGATCTTTATGTCAAAAAATATAAAAATATTTCTTTATTCATTTTTATTTTAAGAAAGTAGTTTATTTGGTTATTTTCTAATGAAATATTTTTTGTTGTTTGTAAATTTATTGATAAGAAATACAGAATTTATTTATTATTTGAAAAAATAATGACATTAGATAAATAAAAATAACCAAAATTAATTCAAACTGAATATACTAATTTTAAATATTATTTTTAGTGGATGACATTCAAGTAGCTTGTTATAAAATTCTGAACAGTTTATACACTCTGGGAACAAATCCAGAATTATCTAATAGCAGGTATTATTCAAATATATATTTTTTTCTAATAAATCATGTTATTGTTATTATTATTATTATTATGATATTTGTGAGATTTTACGAAAACAATACAGGAAACAGACTCTTTTTCCAAAGTGTTATAATGTGGCTACAAGCCATATTGTATTATATATATATTAATATAAGTTTAGTATAGTAGCCCTTTGTTCTCCTTCCTTCTAGAACTTTCCTCCCTAACTTCTTTCCCTTGGGTGAGATTACCAGTTTCAGGAACTAATGTGAACAAAGGATAGGCTTACCAGACGTCCCGTTTTGACCGGGATTGTCCCGGTTTGACGATGTTGTCCCAGCGTCCCGGCCAGTTTGTCATTTTGTCCCGATTATTTGGTAAAATTTTAAAAGTGCCGAATATACAAGAAATAAAAATAGTGCAGCCTCGAGTAAAATGGCAATTTGGCACTTACCCCACTGTTACACTCACTGTTGCCAATCTAAATATTTCGTATCTAGATCTAAGTACTTTTAATGTTGTCTATATGTTCTCCTCAAAAATTTATAGCATATGGCCTAATGAATTTAGATGTTTTATTTTGTCATTCAGATATTTTTTCACAGAATTTATAATAGCACGTAGTCAATGAGATCTAGATATTTTTATTTCATTTTTTTTTTTAGATATTTTGTTTCAATTAGAGTTGGCAAGACTGAAACTTACACTGGCCACGTCATTGCTGCACGTGTCATATCTTAATCGAGTTCAAATTGCTGATTGGTATTTGCAATTATTTCGTACAGTATCTGCGCATTCTTTCATTCAGCGCGCTTGCAGCCCTTTTAGCGCCCGTGTTCAATTATTAAGTCGACTGTCAGCGCGCTTAAGGTGTGCTTTCAGTGCACTAGCAGCACCTCTTGATTACGCTAAAAATAGTGCTTACAAGATGAACTCCTCCATGAGAAAGTATCTTTTTCGACTACCAAATAATAATCAGTTTTTTGCTCTTTTAAGTGAGCAGATTTTTAATCGTGACATACGAAAATGACTTTTAAAGATTTCATTCGAATACTGCGGTATGATATTGTGAACGTAACCAACGATTTTTGCACACTTTCTTTGTTGTTGGGAATCAGTCATCGCCAATGCCATAAATAAATCATCATTTCCTTGTTTTCTTATAACATCGAACTTAATGGCTTTTCTTCTAATATGCACGTAAATATAGCAGAAAGAAAATCATTGTTTATATCAGCCATTTTGAGATAGCCCTTTCTCTGGCAAAGGTGTTTTCAACCGTCAGCAGCAAAAACGTCATTTCCAGCAGCAACTGCTCAGCGCACTGCTGAATGAAAGAATGCGCGGTATATTTAATTTATTTAATATCTTTTATGCCAAAAAGAAACCATGTGTTTACTGATTATTGAAAAAAAGTTCTGTGATTGTATTGACAAAGTGAAATATGATCTGTGCTTTTCATTATTTTTAGTAACTCATGGTGGACATCGAACATTAAAAATCATTTGAAATGTGTGAAACATAAGGCAAGCAATAGGAACTTTCTCAAATGTATTGCCATATTTTAAATGTACCGATTTAAACAACAAAGAATTTTTAAAAAAGTTCACACTAGGAATAAATATTAATAATAAGATACTAAACATATCTTATTTAGTTATTAAAAATTGTTCAGTTATTAAAAATTGCTTTTAACTCGTTGATTTTGTTAACAACTACTTTATTTAGCCTTTTCAATCATAGGTACTTATCCTAGTAGGCTAATTTTCTGTTGCGAGTATTTTCTCAAAATTGTCCCGGTTTGAGAAAAAATATTATGGTAAGCCTAACAAAGGGGAGAGTAAGACTTTGAGGCAAAAGGGACTTGAGGCACGTCATTCTTTTCAGAAACCTGGAAGTAGACAGATGTGAATTTGTGCACTCTGAGTCGATGTTAACCACGACCAGAGAACGTTGATTAGTCTGAGGAAAGAATCCTGTCCTATTGTGGTGGTGATAGAGTAGTACAGAATTAAGGATTGCAAAGAAAAATTAATAGGAGAATTTGATATAAGAAAAAGGAACTTATCAACCATTGTGAAAGGTCTCATGGCATCTCACCCATCGAACATACAGAACCAGTCTTGGGTATTCTTATCTTTGCTAAAACTTACTCTTTACCTCCTAATGAACCTATCCTTATTCTAATTTTAGTTGTACTTTAGTTTATAAGATTAGTTTTAAGACTCATACCCAAGTGCATTGTTGTGAGTAATATATGTCAGTTTGGGATTGTTAAGATAGTGATTGTACTGTAACATTTGGTGCATTTCTGTATGGCAACGCAACGTTGAAATCCTTATTAAGAACTTGCATATGTATGCGAAATAAACTACTTGTGAAATTACCTGATCTTCTTTGTCTGGTAACATGGTTTCTTTGTTTGATTGTGAATCTTGCATACCAATCTTCACAATAATTTATTTGATCATATGTTTGCACAAATTTGTGCCATGTTAGGTTGTCTATGATATTGGATTAGTTTAAAGTTTTTATAGAACAAGAATAGTTAAGTGAGAGTAACAAATCTTAAATATTTTATTGCAGAAATTAAACATTTGTCATTTTAGTATAAATGAAATTGTATATTGGAATAAACTGATTCAGTCTGTTTTTTTTCTTATTTCAATTTTAATTTAAATTAATGTTTAATTCTAATAATTTTTTCAAACAGCGCTTTTATAAAAAGATTTAAATTTGTTCTTTTAAAAAATCTGCTTTTAAAATAGTTTTAATGAAACTTAAGATTTAGTTTTAATATATTAATTCATAAGTTTTTAACTTTTACTGTTTATAGAATGGAACAATGGCTGTGCAGTATAAACAATATCAAAATAGTCTAAATATAGGAGTTAAAAAGTTTTTTAGCATAAATATTTTCACATTTTCTAGGTAAATACCAAATTGCTGTAATTAAAGAGAGAGTTAAAATCAAGCAAAATTTATTAAAAATTTTAAATATAAACATTTCTAATTAATTTTCTAATCATTATTAGATTAATGAATAGAAATAAACAAAGAGATAAAACAAAAACCAAATTGTAAAATTTATTTAAAGAAATATAATTGAATTAAAAACATGCAGTAAAAACTTGATAGAATATAAGTTGTACTACTAAAAGACAAAAGCCTTTATCTCCAAAAAACTAAAAATTAAGTTGTACAGTTGTCTTTATACCTAATTAGTATCCTTTATCAATACTACCCACATTTTTCACATTAGATATTTTTGGCAGTATCAGTGTGAGGACCACATTTACGGGAAACCTTTATTATAAAATCATTATAAATTATTATAACATGTTTGTTGTTCGAAATAAGATAATTTTCCATTTCGAGAAATTGTTGATTGACTCAGCGATTAAAATGTTTTCTATGGACTTCGTTCCTTGTTTAAAGTGACACCTCATATGCGTCACTCGAAAGTAACAAGTGAAACGCGATCATTGGGCCCGAAGTACTAAACCTTCAGGTCAAGTCATGGGAAAAACCCAGCAGAAGACCTTATAAACAGGAGAGGACAATGATGATGGAGGCTTTTTCCCATCGGTGAGTGTGAACTTTTATGTATGTGTGAGGGCTCTCCACCATTGCCGCTTCCTAGATCAATTTTTGGATTAGCACCTGAACTTAACCAAACTTGAACTAGCACCTGAACTCAATTAAATCTGAACCTCTTTGGATGTGCCTAAGGACGAACCTACATCAGGGACCTACTTGAACTCTGGGTATTTGTTGTCACATGAAAGTTTTGTAAGCTCTCTCTTTCTCTTGATATGATAAGCTTCCCCCCTTGATGGTTATTCAAGTTAGTGAAAAAGCTCATAAATCCTGTAAATAGCCTCTCTGAATAAACTGGTATTTGTTAAATGAATAGTCTCTTGGAGTGCACTTCTTCCGGATATCTCCCTCCATCTCCATTTCAACCCTAAGCTTCCATAGACACGACTGCTTGCACGTACCTGTGAATGTAACGATCTTTGTGTTTACCCAGAAGACACAGTGGTGTCAGTCCTGATGAAGTTGTCATTGCGGTCTTTGCCGATACGATGTTGACCCTTTGATCCCGTGGTGCCAAAGTATAGGGGGCCCTTCGGCATTGTCACATCAGTAAAGGAAACTAATTAGATATGAAGACGTGTGCAATTTGATTTTCAATTTTTATGAAAATAGTCTTCTGCTTTTGGATGGCAAAGTTACAATTATTGCTATTTCAATTAATTTATTACAGTTATGTTGTTTAAGCTTTTTAAAAATAAAGAGTTATCCTAAATAAAATTCAAAATAATTTTAATTAGAACAATTATTTATTATAACATATGTAGTAAATACAGGGTCCCATAAATTTGTAAATTGTTTAAAAATTCATAAAAGTTGAAAGGATTGTATATTTGAATGTGGTTTGCATAAAAGTTATTCTCACAAAGGGGGATTTTTTTGGGTAGAGAAAAAGGAAATAGTTCAAATTTTTTTCGATAGAGGGTGCTGAATGCAAGAAAATCACTGGAATTGTGTAAATCAGAGTGCATATAAAATGCAGGGTGTACAATTAACAGCTCATTTCTGAATTTTCCTGTTATTGGCACTGACATATGGTTTTCATTATGATGTTGACATTGGTGGATAAAACACTATTGGTGAAGTTTTTATCTCAGCCATGAATCATGGGCTGAAACTTTACAAAGGTTTAGGACACAGAAGAGAATGAAGAAAGCTTCAGGTCCAATCACAGCAATCACTGGATTGGTTTCCTAGTGTGATGTTCAGAGTGAGAAGTACGCGATCCCGCGAGCGAAATGGTACAAAAAAAAAGTCTCACGACACAAAGTATTATTTTTCTCACTGAACAGGTTCGTTTATTAGATCCCAACTTTACAATTTTTCGAATCTTATGCGTATACCGGTGCTCAATGGTACACCTCGAAAACAGTTGTCTATTACTCACGCGACAAAAACCTGAAGAGGACCAAAATTACTTAATCTAACTTACACTAACTTACACTAACTTATGACTAAAGAAGAAAGAATATAGAATATAGAGATAGACTAGGAAAGAAGTAGAAATACCCGGGTTTAGGTTCGGTGAGCCCTTGGTTGGAGAACACTTCGGACTAAGAGGCCTCCCCTCGATGATCTCTCTCTCTTTCTCTGCACTTTTTGTTCTTAGGTCACTTCTTATTTTGTAGACCTTTCGTCTACAATCTTCGTCTTCCGGATTGAGTCGTCTTTTATCACCTCTCACTTGTAGACTTTTCGTCTGCAGTCCTTCCTTTTTCTTTTCTCTCTGTTCGCTTTGTCTCAGATCACTTCACTTGTAGGAGCACCTCTCTGTTCACTCCTACCTACTCGAGATCTCCCCTCGATCTGATATTCTTTCACTCTGTTTTTGCCTCCGGGCCTCACTCCCTTCTCCTTTGTTCTTTATTTCTTCGAAAAGGGTAATCCCCCCAAGGGCAAAAAGGGTTCAGACAAAGAAAATTATAGGAAGGTTTAGGGAAAAGAAAGTTCTAGATGGTTTTAGACAAAGAGAAAGGAAAGTCTAATACTAATATAACAAAAAAATATAGGAAATATAACATATCATGGCTGATGGCCACACTAGTACGACATTTCGAAGAAATAGGAAGTTTGTGTATTCACCCACACAGTGGTGCATCATGTTTATCAGAATACTCCAATGTGGTTTCACAAATGGAAACTAAGTCTCATGTGTACCGCAATAGCCCATCTTCTTTAGTGCCGTTAAAGTATGCCATTTGCCATGAAATCTCCTGCATCCATCCGGATCTGCTACATGCTGCAGTTAGCAGTGTTGTCACTCGCTTGCAAACTGTCATTTGTGGTAATGGCAGACACATAGAACAAGTACTCTAGTGCTGTGATATGCATGTAAGTGTAAACATTTGCCTGCATGCAAAATAAACATAATTTTTCCATGGAATTCCAGTGATTTTCTTGTGTTCAATACCCTCTATTGACAAAAATTTGAACTATTTCCTTTTTTTCTACCCAAAAAATCCCTCTTTGTGAGAATAACTTTTATGAAAACTGCATTCAAATATACCAATTCTTTCAACTTTTGTGAATTTTTAAACTATTTATAAATGTATGGTGGTATGTATTAACATCGGAATTAGATTACGAAAAGGATTGAAACGGATTCTCATGAACAGCTAAATCAACACGTCTTTATTGAAGTACATAACGGAGCAGAACTCTGCAGTGCGCAGGCGCGCTACTACATATATACATTTGAACTGCCATAGATGGCGCTGCGATACATAGCATATGGGACATTCTGTATGTAATATAAATTATGTTTGTATAATAGTACACAGTGTATCAATTAAGTCATGAGATTGTTGTTATAACATAAACACAAACCTTTACTTTTAAAAAAGTAGACATTTTTGAAATAATCTCCTGTCATTACTCTACAATGCTGACATCAATCATGGAGACTGTTGAAAGCACACTGAAAGCCTTCTAGTTGTTGGGCTGCAATTTGAAAAATTTGTAGACCTATAAATTTCCACTGTCATCTGACTGTCTGTCCTTCCTTAATCTCAAGAATGGTGTTAGAAAGATGAAAGTTGAGACAAGGTATGGAAAACATAAGACAGAAGGTTCCAATTAACTATATATGAACTTCCTATTTGGACCAGAAGTCATGTTATTTTGATTCAAAAATTTTCTCCTGAACAGAGTTAGATAGATGACTGGCATGACTATATTGTTAACAGGAAAAGTATGATGTACAGGTGCAGTGCACTAGTAAATTGAGAACATTATAATGAAAAATTGCAGCCTGGCATTGTGACAATGTTACTATAAATAATTGCTTATTGTTCACTTGCTTGGTTGTTACTTTTTGTATGCTCTTGCTTGGTTGTTACTTTTTGTATGCTCAGCATGCTATTAAAATGTTTGTTTTTCAAAACAGATTTAATTTGCAGAAATAAAAAAAATCAGCAGGAGCTGAATTGGAAGAATAGGGGAGTGGTTAATGACCGTGGTTTTTAGAGGCAAAAACTATGTAATAAGTGGAATACTATGAACTGCTGCATTATCATGAGAGAGAAATCAATTGTTGTTGACAAATCATTTATTTCCCAGTTGTCACATTTATTTTCATAACCTCTTTGCTTAAATAATATGCAGCATTAATTGTTGTCCCTTGGGGAATGAAATATTTAACTTCACAACAACTAGCTGACCTGGCCATGTGATGTCTTCAATGGACTCTTGATCTTCCTGAAAATGAGCATGACCTCAGAAAGCCCAAGCTCCTCTCAAAAGTTCATCACCAATTTTTAAATCCTGTAAAGTTTTTGTGGAACTTTCCCTAATTTTGAGTAAAATTTAATGGCTACCCAGTGCTCCATATCTACACTTGCCTATGCAACAACACAGAGATATATTCATTAAAGTGATCTTAAAAATAGAAGCAATGCATGTTCAGATTTGTATTACTGATGGATGGAAAGAGTGCACACTAGAGATCCCAGTTGCAAAAAGTAGTTCTTATTTATACCTGTAGAGCAGGGGTGTCCAACCTTTTTGTTTCTCTGGGCCACATTGAAAGATGTCATGAAGATTTGGGCCACAAATATATATGATATACTTGTGGCCAATTCTTAAATATACTTGTATATTTTAGGATTAACATGTCTAGATTATAGTAATAAGTATTAAATCTTTATCACGAAAAAGGATTATTTTAAAAAATTACTTCTACACACACTTCCAATTTTTACTTAGAAATAGATAAATTAATTCATTATAAAGGAGACAAGCAAAAATTTATTTGAAAAACACAAATATTTGTTTTATTTGGGTCTCTAATTAATAAAAAATGACAAAACACTATTTTAAAGTGCATTTTTATTTGACTAATATATTTATAAATAAGATGTAGACCGAAAAGTAGCCAAATGCGCCAAATAATATTTTTTACGCCAAAATAAAAGAGGGTAGCCAAATTTGGTGCAAAGTAGCCAAATCATGCAACACTGGAAGGAATACTAAATAAAGCCGGAATTGGACTTAAAGGATTATAGACTCAAATGCGGGGAAAGGAGAGAAAGGACAAAAGATAAAGAAGTGAGGAAGGTTGTGAAATTATGGGTCCATATTTGCTTAACAGAAAGTCTATTTAACCTTTCTCACTACTTTTTATCTTTTGGCCTTACTCTCCTTTCCCCTAATTTGGGTCTATAATTCTTTGAGTCTCAACTTTAGCTCTATTTAGTATTCCTTCCTCATTCACACATTTCCAAGTACTATATTTGAAGATATTTCCTTTATAATCATAAATTAAATATATATAAAGGTTTAAGGCTTTGTGAAACTTTTTTTTTGAATTTATGCCGTTGAAATAAATAAATAAAATAAAATAAAAAAAATTGTCAGTTTTGTTTACAAGTTTATTGGGCCGCATTGGAGCTTGCCTTGGGCCGCGGGTTGGACACCTTTGCTGTAGAGCATGCACCAATATCTCAGTTTTATTATTTAATTGGCACACTATATATAATCCTATTATATATAGTATAAGCAATAATAAATAAAATGAAATATATAAATCTTAGGCTATTAAGAATATCTATGTTTAATATAAGCTTTTTTATTTACCATTAAAATGTTATCTTTTCAGTTTTTATTTGTTAATTTGATAATCAGAATATGTAGCATATCAAAAGCCATTTTGTTTATGAATGTTAGATTTTGTTGTTTAACAAAGTAAATGAAGATAATACAGGCACACAATTTTTAAATTTATATTGCATTAAATATAAATATGAATTTAAATATCAAATTATATTTCATTTAAATAGTAATGTTTTTTAGACAATTATTTTTGCATGAAATTTATTTTAAAACAATTGTTTCTACATTGTATTATCTTTGTTTAATTTTTATTAAATTGTCTTTTATTATTATATTAAGAGAATTAATTATTTAATTATAGAAAATATTGACTAGTTAAACATTTATAATTTCTTACTATTTTGTATTGCTAAAGATTTATTTTATTTTATTTCTTTTAATTTTCAGAAAATTTATCAAGTCTGAATTGGACAGGTATAATATATTATTTTTTTTATTTTTAATAATCTACTTCTAAACCTTCTAACAATGCTGGTTTATTGCACACTGGGCATCTCCATGCACCTCTATCACTGTTTAATTGAAGATAGGATTCTAAATCAAAGCATTGGATATGTTTGCAGTCTTGTCCTCTGGCTGGCAAAGTTATTCTCTTAAATGTTATAGGACATTTAAGGGATACTTTAATAGCAGTCTGCTCTACACCATCTTCTCCATTTAAAGCACTATTGTTTGAAGCAGCAACACTAGTAAAGTGTGCAATAAACCAGCATTGTTAGAAGGTTTAGAAGTAGATCAGTATATATGGGGCATATTTTTAATAAATTTTAGCTTTATATTTACTACTGTATCTTTAATTATTTAAAACTTATCTTGTTTAATATTTTAAAATTATAACTAAATTAATTTGATTGGCTTTAAATACTTAATGGATTCTTGAACATAGCATAAACTGAAGACAACAATAGTCTAGTTGTAGAACTTAAAAGGTTTTGTGTCCTAAATATTTTCAGTTATTAAGGTTTCTATTTTCAAAACAAATTTACACTAAAAAATTATAACAAAATACAAATAATAAAGGAAGGATGAATAAATATAAACAACTTAATTTTTAAATTAATAATAATATTTTAAAATATAAAATTTGATTTAGGTAAATGTTTAAAGATTACATTTATTATTTATTTATGAAAAGTTCAAATATTACAATTTTAAATAACATTCAGATATTTTCAAAATATTCATACTTAAAATTTCATTTGGAACAAATCATTTAATTAAACAAGCAAAACTATGTAATCCTTCCCTATTCAGGTATACACTGATTAATGATAGGGATATGTTCCAAAAACAGGTAGAAAAAAGGTAACAAAAAAGACTGTTTTGTGGGTTGGGAATGGATTAGTTCATTTTACATTGTTTCTTATGGGAAAATGTTTTGGTTTTGAAACAAATCAAATTTCATCAAATTTTAAACTTGTTTGGAAATTTGATTTGAATTAAGTAAACTGAGGTTTGACTATATTAATATAATTCCTACAGAATCCTATTTAATTTTTAAGTCATTAAGTTAACATTATTTTAGCAGTATATATTATAGTTATCATATATCAACAGAGATATTAGACATGTAACATTTCTTACATAACATGTTATACTTTTATTTTTTGCATCATACTTCTCTCTAGAGATTCTGGCTTTTATATCATTATCAGTTCTTTGTCTTTCTTGATTAAATGGAAATAATTGAATTATTTTTGATTTGTGATTTACTTTTCTTAATAAGCAATAAATGCTATTTTATACAAAAACAGATAAAATGATGATTAAATGTTTATCTGTTGTAAAAATATTTATGTAATTTCATAGTGGATAAATAGACATGTAGATACATAAATCTTTTTCAACTAAAATTTTTTATTTTTTTATTTAATTTTTTATGCTATAAGTTTTCAATGCAGATTGCTAGCAATGAGAATTTTTTGTTCAGAAAGGATAAAAATAAAAATAAACATTTAGTCTTCTAAAACTAGACTGCTGTTCTCTATTATTTTTATGCTTTGCTATATATAAGATTTATTTCATTTCATAATGTAATTTACATCAAATTTGATATATGTTTATTTAGACATAGACCAGCTTTAGGTAATTGTTTGGGCGCTTTTGCTGGAACATTCCCTGTTGCATTCTTAGAGCCACATTTGAATAAGCACAATCAATATTGCATTCACGGAAAATTAGAGGAACATTCCCTTGAAGCACAAGGTAATTTAAAAATTTTTAAATGATATATCATTGATATTTAAATAATAACTGTGTTTTTAATTAACTAAAATTATCATAATATATATTTAAATAAATATAGCTGTGATGGCTGAATTAGAATCAAGCATGCCAACATTAGATGATTTAATGGGACAGGTAGACAAATTTGTTACTGCTGGAGGAAAATATAGTGAAACACCATATGTTATAGAAGTAATGATACCAATGCTTTGCAGGTACTTTAAATTTAGAATATATTTGATCATAATCAAACTAAAGTATTTTGTTACTATAATATTTGAAAATAATAATAATAATAAACATACATCACACTACAGAAGGCCACTATATTGAATACATGCCACATTGTTAGGAAATTCCTGAATACAGACACACACACTGACACACTTATTTAATTTTAGTTTTGTTTTGGTTGCTATGCCTTGACTTTGGTCCAGCATTGTACACAGCCACCGGTGTGAACTGAGTACAACTCACAAAACATAACAACAATAATAATAAAAATAATAATAATAACTCTCCTGTGGTCACCATTTGGTCGTGGTGGGAGAGCCCAGTAATTTTACTGAACCATAGAGTAATGCAGGCTGGAGCACAAGCTCCTGGCAGGGACACCCATGCCAGTAAGGTCTATGGGGAGAAATGAAGCTAAGAGTGACCACACACTCACATTCTGTGGAGATATTTATCATGGTAGTAACCAGATCTAAGTATGATACCGGCTCGGATGTTGACCGGGTTAACAAGGTCCGCGTTCGTGGGTTAGGCAGAGGCTCACATTCGAAAAATAGGCTCCAGTCTCCCTTGGTTACCGGTGGTGAAAGCAGCGCCGGCCCAAGCATGGCTACTGCAATGCCCTCAACAGATGTGAGGAATCAACCTAGCCTTGGTGTTTCTGTGGC